AAATTATTTTCCTCAGTTTATTGCAGTGAATTTTCAGAAATTAAAACTATTAATGAAATGCCAGTTTGCGCGATTGCAACTTGCAAAAATTCTGATAGAAACACAAAAGGAAAAAAACACAATTTTGCACGTGTTCCCTAAAGTAAATGAACAACTATGTAAAGAATGGATTCAACGAATTGCAAACGAAACTATGAACTGAAAGAATGTGTTAATTATGTAAAGTTTGAAATCTAATAACCTGAAAAAGTCTGACTTATTTTTACAGAGAGAAAGATGCAAAGTTATCATAATATCTTTGCTAGCGATCTCCAAGATCTGTGTATGCAGTGACGTCATGAGGAGAGAAATCGTAAGCTTCAGCTCTAAGAACGGAATGAACTAGCCCTTCTCTCTTCTCTTTAGCCCTGCTGTGAGGGCCACTCTGCAGCCCACAGAGATGCAACCATAAAATTTAAGCTTGACTCGCTCAGACGGCCGCAAGTGTTTTTTTTCACGATTTAATTCTCACTGCTTTATCTTCTAATAATGACTTATTATTCAGTATTGTAGAAATACTTATTCAATTTTCTAGAGATCTTTATTTCATAAGCTTGAGCTCTTGTCAAAAGTCAAAAAAAAATTATAACTAAAAATAAATAAATAAATAAAAATAAGAGAGAGAAAATATTGACAGATAAAAATTTATATAGAAGGCTTAAAAAGTATAAAAAAAACTTAATTCCAGGAAGATAAAAAACATTTCTTAATTAAAATGTTATGAGTCTCGTTAACATCGTATTCATTCTTTATTATTATGTCACATATTCTGTGAAGTTAATGTTTTTTTCAAGTGCAATAAATTTTCGAGTAATTATTCATTTCATTAGATAACAAATTGATGTAACATAAAATAATAATAATAATATATTTAATCAGCGAAGTGTATTTTGTTTTGTTAAAAAATATCGATTTTTTTAAAAAAAAGAGTAAAATAAAGAAAGAAAGAAGCAATGATAAATGAGAAACAATCATGAGGGTTGATGAGTGGAGATAAGAGGAAAAAATGTTTAATGTAAAAAAAAAAAAATGTTTTAATTTCTTTAAATCTAATTCAGTCTTAATTAATAATTTCAGTTCCTAAAAAGCAATTTAAGAATTCGAACTAAACTCAAAAAGCTTACTTTTATTCACTCCGTTATGATGAAGGATAACTAGTTTAAAAAAAATGGTGGCCATAGATCAAGTTTTTTAGTATTCTTAAGTGTTTTGAATCATTAAACATATAAGCATGATTTTGATTTAATTTTTATTTCTTTTCTTTTTTTTCAATTTTCAATGCATTGTTTTTAAAACATACTCTTCCTATTGTGATTTTTTTATTTCTTGACTATTATGAACCAATTTTAATCTTACAAATTACTGTCTTTCTATGGGCCTGAATAGCCCGATTGGCAGGGCACTGGACTCACGTTCGTGAAACCGGGAGTTCGAATCCAGCCAGTAAATGGTGACTGATGCACGTTAAATCGGTCGGGTCACAAAGTCCGCTATGTTCCCATAACGTATTTTACCTCTGGGGGATTGGTTTGGAGATTGATCGTACGCTGATTCATGTCAAGATTAAGATCCGTGAATGAGTGAATTGATGAATGGGACCACTCTTTAAACGGGTAAAACGTATGGGTGTAACAGAAGTCAAATTCTTGGTCATAGATGGAGCCACTGGAAGCAAAAACAATCGCACCCCCAGTGCCTTAATGGCTTAAGACAACAACAACAACACCGTCTTCCTATCATCATTAAAGGTGAATTGCAGACAGTCGCCAATAACTCCTTATTTTAGCTGTAGTGCGAGGTTAACGGCCAAACTGAAAATTATTCTTAAAAAATTTATTTCACCAAATACGTATAAATAATATTAATGTGAATTTTTAGCATTTAATTTGATATCTCAAGAAATTGAAAAATAGTGTTTTATTTCGGAAATCCGCTCTCAATTTTTATTTAGTTAAATTAGCAATTCTTATTTAGTTAAAACAATAACAGACACAGTTGTTGTTACTCATCCTCCTGGTGTAGGAAAGCCTACATCAGATCCAAACACCTTGTCGCCTGAGAATATAGAAAATCTTCTGCTCAACCAACAGCTGCCTCCAGGAGGCTGCTAAACAATTAAGAAGGTGAGCAGGACTAGGAAGGGAACAGGAGCAAGGAGAAAAAAAAATCTTTTCCCTGTTCTGAAATTTCATGCATTTCAAGTGGCAACTTCTGAATCTTGCCAAGGTCGAGTCCTGGCGCGGCTGCATAACAGAGAAAGGCCCGGGCCCTTTGCAGTGTATCAGCTATGAACCGGTGGGAGACGCCAAGTTGAAAGTAGATTACTTTTGTGGAGAGAGTGGATTTCCGAAGGATTTAGCTCAACAGAGTTGACTATCGCAAGATCACAACACAACCATTTCTAGCAAGAGTATCACAGACACAGTATATTTCTTATTTTCTTTTTTATTATAAATATGTACAACATTTAAACCACAACAATATTATTAATTTGTAAATTTATGAAATTGTGAAGACACTCATAAATATTATTAACAAAGCAAAACTAAAAATAAACTTCGTACATGATATTGAAACATACAATAACCTGATAGCGCACACTTGTTCGCGATTTTAACAATAGAGTTTTATTGCAAAATATTGCCCATTATAAAAGCAAAATGAGTTGAAATTCCTGACAAGATAAGCTAATCAGAAAAGATTTGGCTCTAATTTTTCAGAACCTTAAATCTTAAAATGCTTATATTTTTGCGCTAAATTTCATTTGAAAAGCTTCAACAATGATTATATCATAAACATATTTATAGAGTGATTTCACGTAAAAACAAATATTCCAAAGCACATTCAATCGAGTTTCAACATTACCTTCCGATAACTAATGGAAGCACTTTGATACTCATACGAGATGTGAACTTTATTTTTGTGTTTTTAATAAATGAAGTTAGAGATCCAAAATTCACACGAGATTTTTGTTCTTAACAGAAGCCGTCTGTCTAAGGTAAGTATCGCCGTGCATTCAATTTTTAACAAAATGATTCAATGGGCAAACCAATCATAGAACAAAATTGGTCAAATAGTTCTTAAGAAATGAAAATCCGTTTTAAAAGGCGAAATATGTAATAAGAGAAATTAACATTAAATTTAGAATAGAAAATTTCGACTACTTTTTGGTCTAAGCTATTGGGACAAAATATTCACATAGCGGCATTTTATTTGTCAAGAAGCCAAATCTATCTAATCTTCAATATCAAATCTGTTAAAAATAGCTACAGAATTGACATTCAGAGTTGCCAAATTGATGTTTATTCAGAGAAAGTACATTTTTGAGTGTGATTCTGTAATTTAATCAGTAGTTATTATTAAATAGCATATTTTAAGTTAAACCTATGAACTATTAAGATTTGTTTTTAGCATTAGATAGTCTGATAATTAGAAAACAATTTATTTCGGGCAATATATTTTTTGTTTCTAGGTTACTGTACGTTCCTGACATTGTCTTGCGAGATTTCGGGCGCATCAAGCTAAAAATGTGAGTGATTTTTGAGTTCTTTTTTTAAAATCTATTTTGTTAAAAGTCGAACCTCATTGCAATTAAATACAGTTTCTTACTTTCGGCAGACAGCTTCTGTTACAACAAAATGTTTTAAGCAATTGCATTTAAATATCATGCACAAGCGTAGAAATTCACAGAACTCAAGCTTCATTTGTTTAAGTACAAAAACTATGTACTGAAGCTTCTTGAACACACCTCATATACTGAAATATTTTATAAGTATTTCATATTTTAAACAACATATACAACTACAAATGAAATTTCAATTTCCAAAACTTTTTCTTTAACAAAAAGATGCCTGAAAAAAAAATCGACTTTTCTTTGCATTTGTGAACAGCACATACTAAAATATACAAAAAAAAGTTATTTTTGAAATGGATGAAATTCAATAATACAATAAAAGTATTTTTTTTTCAACTTCAGGAAATGAACAGGATTGATTTATTGTGATATGTGATATAACAACAAATGCGAAGATAGAATTGAACATACTATATATTCTATATATCTACACCATGAGTTATCACAGAGAAACGATTTTAGTTCATACGCATGCGCTGATTTACGAAAATACTTTCTGTAAACTCTTAAAAGCATCTAACAGTCTAGTTTATTAATTTAACGGAAATTAGATGATACAAATATTTAACGTGAACATTTTTATAATGGAAATACAGAATGGAAAGCAATATCTTTGTGAATTCAGTGCACAATAACACATGAAATGAATAAGATACATTACTCCAACTCTTGGTGTTTGTACAGGTCTTAGTAGCAATGATTTTGCACTTTGCTTACAATATATACCATTATTACTTAATTAAAACAATTCTATTCGCTTTAAAAGTATACAAAGTGGAAATAACAATTAATGCCCATTTTTCAGAAGTGATTTGAAAAATAATAACGTGAATTTGTCAACGAAAAATAGAGAAGTAAAGGGGAGAAACAAAATTTGAAAAGCCACAATAGCGGAGAAAGGAAAATGAAAAATAGAGCAAGAAAAACCACTGTGACCGAGAAGGGTAATTAGGGTAAAATGCATTTATGATTCTGCCCTGATGAGGAACTAATTTCATTAGAAAAGGAATCAGCATTCATAAGAATAAAAAAAGATTCCAGGGCATCAAAATGAGTTGATGTGACAGGGGTGGAAAGAAGCTCTTTAAACCTGTAAACCAGTGTTTCCCAAAGTGTGGTACGCGTACCCCCAGGGGTACGGGAACAGTTTAGATTGCAACAAACGAAATATTTTGCAACAAACGAAAATTCCAAAAAATTTTATTTAAGAATAAAGCTAGCCATGAAATTTTACGATTACGTATTTTTCTATTGGCTATTTTTCGCAGAGTTTACAGTTAATAATTAGTGGTATCAACAACCAGTTGTGATTTTTAACTTTTGTGCAATTTTTTTATAGTTAAAAATGTATTCATTTTTTTTTATTAGTAGTACACAGCGTTACTAAAAATTTAGAAAGGGTACACAAAAGTCATAAATTTGGGAAACATTGCTATAGACCATAATATTTTCGTATATGTTTGAAACGAATAAGGTTTTAATAAGCAATATTTTACCGTTTCAGCTTCTTCTGATTATTTATTTAAGATATATTAATATGTTTTAAAAAAATCTTACACTGAAACTGTAATTTTTTCTTCATCAAACAGTAACAAAAAAAATCCCTCAGGTTCATGTCCGTAAACTAAAAGTGGGCAAAAAATGTTTTGAAAAACTTATCTTGTTATTTAAACAAACAACGGAACTTAACTATCTTATCTATATTATATGTTACTGCATATAAAAGTTGGAAGGATAATTTTGGATTACTCTGTACGTTAAGATTACTTTGGTATCCAGTCTTTTTCAAGGTTAAACAAACGTACACTTTTGATGAAATTAAATAAAAATTATAATTTAACATCTAAACAAAACATGTGAGAACATACACAGTAAAAAAAAATGTAGAGTCTACACAAATGTTTTTTAGAATAAAAACTGTTTGAAGATAAATACGTATTTGTTCTGTTTTTAAACGTTACCCGCGCACTGCAAAAATTCCCGTTTTCTTACAAACTTTCTCCGTATTTTTGACGGCTTGAAGCTGCTTTTCATAAAAAATTTTTTTTCTCTGTTTTCCATAATGTTCCTGCATAAACGGATGCAATTTTTGCTGTGCAGTTTTGCTTACCATAGCATAAATTTACAACTTTCCAAATAATTATACGATTATTTTCTTTGCTCTTACTTTTCAGAAATTATTTTATTGTTTGGAACATCATCTAAATAAAATTGAGATTCGACTTCATTGTCGAATGGGATATTCTATCTGATTTTTATCTGCCTTTGGATATGATCTTTCGGTAAGTTAAATTGACAGACATTTTTATATAGGGTGAGCAAATGTAGTTTGAAACGTTTTTACACTTCAATATGATTTTATTAAGTAAGGCTTAAGATAACGACAATTTAAGATCTAGCTTAAAAACCAAACGCCAAGGCTACCGTGGCTCAGAAGACAGAGCACTCGGTTTCTTATGAGGTCTTGATCCGGATTCGAATACCAGCGATAAATGGTCATGCGACTCTGGTTGCACAAACTATGCTGACATAGTTACTTTGTAGAGTTTCGTTTTGTTAAAATAACAGTTTCTTTTATTTAAATAACCGAGTTTGTTTGTTAAAATAACAGTACTTATCTGCTTAAAAACAGGTGCCTGGTTTTAAATAACAGTATTTTCCTGTAAAATTAACGATTTTACGCAGGCATACCAGCTGAGAGTTTTTTTTTCAGTAAATTTAAAAGATTTTTTTACATTGTAAATTTTGAACACTGTACAGAAAAACGAAACATTTGGTTTCAAAACTAGTTAAAACTAAATTTATAAGTTTTATCAGAGAGACATGAAAAGAAAGCGAATCCAGTTTTTTGAATTTCGTTAAATATTTTAAAGAAGAATGAATATGCTTGGTTGTCGATTGTTTTAAGATAATTTATCTTATGGAAAATACTTAAATTTTAAAGTGAAGGAAAAAGGTGAAGAAAAAAAAATGGTTTAAATTTAGTTGGTTTTGGTGCAAATCAAGCGGCTTTCATTAATTTTGGCTAAAAATAACTAACCATGCCACTATATCTGTTTTCAATAGCTGAGAAGTATTTCTTCCAAAAAAAAATTTTTAATGAAAAAGAGTAAAGCATTTAATATAATTGTTAGAGAGGAACATATAAGAAAAATTAAACTCATTTAATTGTCTCAATACAACTTCCAAAACAACTCTTTGTTTGGGCGCAGAACTTGTTTTGTCAATAAACATCGAAACAGCTGCGTGTTTTCAAATTTCGGTTATTTGTGCTTTTTACGTTTTTAATTTGTATTTCGCATCTGCAAACATGCTAGTTATTTTGATAACTCAAAATAACTATTACTTAGTAATTTAATAATAAAAATTGCGACTTAAATGATTTTCATAACGAAAGCGTTGGGGAATTTTTTTTTTTACCTAGTTTTTGTTTTGTATTTATTTTAAACAAAAGTCACAAAGTAATCAATTCGGATATAGTAAAAATTGTATAACTTTTATTTTTGCATAAAAAAAGTTATCATATTGTCATACTTAAATTAGTGCGTTAAGTTTCTTATTAAAATGACTCGGAAGCTGAAATATTTGATATTCTGTGATAATAAGTTAAATGCATTATTTCTAAAAGTCCAGCTTTTAGATACCGTTGTCTAAATCAAAGCCTTTCTATCACAATATCATATAATAAATAAAATAAAAATTCTTACCATAACGTCACAAGCTAAATATGATATAATAATTATAATAATAATGAAACTGTTTTCAAAACTACCATAATGATTGTCTTTCTAAAACGTAAATATTGGAACATCTTCAGTTTACTCAACTACTTTTAGTTGGTAAACTTTATGAACACTCGATTTTTAATTGTTAGAGGTCATTTCCAACAGATCCGTTTTAGTCAGACACATGTCATTGGTTCCATTGTAAACATTTTAAGACAAGGAATTGTGGGACAGCACCAGTTTGAAATTTTTAAAAAATAATTTAGTTTTTGTTTGCTTTAAGATACTTTCAGTTTCTAGACGTTCTTGCAAAATAAATATTAATATTGAGATTTATTACCAAAATACTAACTGGAATACAAAGCTATCCAAATGAAATTTTTTAACTTCTTTTTTTTTCAAAAAAGAAAGTTCTTTTAACTTGATCCGAAATTTTCCGCACTAGCAACTCGACTTATTCTTTCTAATTTTCTTTCTTCTAAAAATTTAAACAAAGTATTTGATTTTTTGAAATCGAATAATCCTATCACAAAACCTTCAAAAGTCATTTCTTTTAAAAGGCAAAAAACAAGCTATAATAATTTTTCTTAAATTTTTCAAATTGGTACTTCCTTTTAAAACAAACCGAAAATTTTTTAAACTCTATAAAATCCAACATCATTTAAATCCTCCATTTTGTTTTAAGCAGTTCAGTTGCTGTTGTAAAAGACGCATTAACTTTGATGAGACTTTCTTATAAATATGTACATGTGAGGGTTTATCCTAAATTCGATTGAAATGTTAATTATGGATATGGAGTTTATTTTTATACAGTTCCTCATAAAAAATACATTAATATATCAATTACTCTTGCTTTAAAAATCGCTTCAACAATTCGTCTGCCGCTTTACATACATAAATTAGTACCATTTGTTCAGCTTCGTCAGTTTTGCACTAATTTTGATCTACAAAACAGCTATGAAGGCTATGATTGTTTTCATTCCTATATCACACATGTTGGTTGTCACGTGATTTTGTTGATAAACAGAGCTGTAAGCAACCACAGAAAGAGGTACGAAGAAAGTGGTGGTAGCGACGAACCCGCGTTCGTCCTTGGAGAAGGGCATTCTATAACTTGACGCTGGAAAGCGTGTCTCCGCCTTTCGCAATCGTCTCTTTGGGGTCCGATGCATGCTGCGTAGGCCATAGCATGGGGAATGTATGTTTGCTCCAGAACGCCTCTAAATAAGTGCGCCATTGGTCCATGAGCATATACTGGGACATCTTCACCTCCGTGGGTGTCCCATCTTCTCGGGACAGCACTTTGTTGCACATAATTCTTTTCCTCTGAAAGCATAATAATAATATAATGCATAAACGTGAATATATATAAATGGTGTTTTGTTATTACCACCCTTAAGAAGTATCTTTCTTTCCGACAGAACTAATCCGTCAAATGGATGATAATGGAGGGGGAATATTCTAAATATGCTTCTAATAATCTTCACAAAATTTCTTATTTATATACATATTTATATCAAATAAATTTTTATCATACAAATGTATATATCATATTTATATAAATTCACTGATAAACTGATGTCAGAAATATATTCTACACCGTAGAATCTTTCGAAACATGTAAAGTAAAAAGACGAATTCGAGTAATAAATATAGCGCACATTAGTTTAGAATTTCCATAGATTTTTTTTTCTGGCAAAATTATACCAATGCAATTCTCCTATCCTCATGTTTTGATAGGTAGTCTATGGTGATTTCTACGGCAGAGGGCACTGTATTATTTTCTTCAGAAGAACTTCTGGATTATTATCCCTTCTTTTAAAAATCTATATTATTCTAAAAAATGTTGCCATAATATTTACCAGGATCAAATGATAAATCTTACAAATGATAAAGAAGTTAAAGTGATACTTTTACTTTCTTATTTACTTTTATGTAAAAGAAAAACAAGGGTTTGAAAATATAGCCTCATTCAATTTACCTGTATCGATCAAATGATAAAATAAATGACAATAAGTTATCGGTGACTTTCCAACCGAAACTTTTCTTAATGTATTTCCGAGCATTTCTTTACGCTTTCTTCTTTATTGAAAATACCATCCACACATTTGTCTTTAGATTTTTGATAAATAACTTTATTTTTGTGCGATTTATCTGAAGAGAACTTTCCAGTATCAGCCAAATTGGTTTTCATTAGTTTAAACCAGCGATTCTCAACCACTGTACCGTGGCACTTTTGTGTGCTGCCAAATTCTTAAAATGCGCCTCAAAATATTAGAAATGATACTATAAAAATTATAATGCATTGTTTTTTATTACGACTAAAGTTTAAATTAAAGAAAAGTGTACATATATATATATACATTTTATAATTTATTCACGCTTTAACCGCGTGAACATCTTTGTCGGCGATTGTCTTGTCTCTGACAATCTTGAAATAAGTTAAAATAAGAAGGAAGTGTTTAAATTGTCTTTGACAAATTTAAAAAATGTTGAAATAAGTAGGAAATTTAATGATTATTAAAATTATTAATTAACAAAAAAAGCAAGCTAAATATTAACTTTCAAACTTAAATAACAGCTAATCATTAAACTAAGCTATGCAATTAATAGTTATAAAAACAAATTAGCTAAGGATAACTAACTAAAAAATAATAATTAACAAAAAAAACTAGTTAACAAGAAATCACAAAAAAATAATAATTAATGTTAAAAAAAACTAATAGTTAATAACTATAGAAAACAGGCTAACAGTTAATAACTAGCAAATAAATAACTGTTACTAACTAATAAAAAAATAGTCGAAAGAAGTAATTAATCCCTTAATAAACGTGTTTTTGTAGTACATATTATGTTATTTCACATTCAAAATTATTATCACAAACTATTTAACACAGTGTATTATAGGTAAACAACTTTTAAACTAATTTTTTTCATTGTGTGCCGTCAAATTTCGAAATCGTTAAAAGTGTGCCGCCCCCCAAAAAAGGGTGAGAATCACTGGTTTAAACAATAACAAAAGTAAATTTTTTTTTAAAAATATCTTAAAACAGGCCAATATACAGTACTGAACTATCCATCCAAAATTAGAAACTGCATAATTATATAACTTTACATTTTGAAGAAAAAAGATTTCTCAATCGTTCTGAAAAATCAAACTCTAATCTAATTAATTAATGCTTCTATCTGTGACTGATATTAAAGTCTAATGTGCAGCCGGATCATACTCTAACATCAAACGTTTGTTAGTGAAATAAAAAATTTAACCAAAAATCTAATACGGCAAGAAAAAAAAGCCCATAATATATATATATACATTTCTAATCTTTGTGAAACAATACCAAGTAAAAAATGCATGAATTTTTATTAAAATAAGAAGAAAAATTAAAATATTTCCAAAATCTTAAAAAAATCATAATGGAGGAGGGAGTAAAGTCATCAAAATCATCATCTTNTCTTGGCATTATCAAAATTGAAATTTTGCCAGTAATATATATTTTGAACTTGAAAATCTGGATTTTTATTCTTAATCAAAATTTTCAATGTATACGAAATATTAAGTATATGCATTTTAATTTAATGTTTGTTTTCGGTTTGTTTTAGGATCAAAAATAACAAAAAAATCAATGTTCGCTACAATGTAAAATATAATAAGACAATTGCAAAAGACAAAGATATGTTTTCAAGAACAGTAGTCAAAGACCAGTATTAGATATGTAAAACTGTCATATTTTTGCTCCTCATTTTATTAATGGAACATTCAAAATGCAGTCTTTTACAGTTATTCCTTTTATTTATAGAGTTATTTAGCCCTATCCCTTAGCATCTAGCAGGTAAACGCATCAATTCACAAGGAATTGAGGAATGCTCCAGAGAGTAAAATGATGAATTTCAATTAATGTCTTGATCACATAACACGCTAGATCTTAATCTGACAAAAGCACAGAGATCTAACACCGCCATGTCGGAATATCTCGAATTTGCGCGATTTACTGCTTAAACATTTGGTACAACTTGTCTCCAGTTATCTACTTGTAGCATCCTTGTCAAGGCGAGTTTCAGCTGTTTTGAGCGCCAAAGTTAGCGTAATGCATCAGTGAATCATAATGTTTTTACTCTTCAGTGTATAAGTGTATAATGAATAAACATTTTTAAGCATAATACAAACCTGTATTCATTCCCGTTAAATTTTCTCTTCCTGTGGGAAAATTATGGTTATATCCTGGTCCATTGGCGTATAATAGCGTAGTGTAAGGCATGCCGTCTACGTCCGAATCTCTATTATCAAGACCTGTAAAGAGCCACAACCATAGTTTATTGTAATTTTTATTTTCAAAAATAAAAAACTTTTTTTCCCCTCTTTTTCCACTTTTTATATTTAAAGAATAAACTATAGATTGTATAGATCAACTAAACTCTAACATGTTGTTACAAAATTACAGTATAAGTGATAAAAATATTTTAAGATTAAATATAGAGAAACCTAAAGCAAAAGTGAATTAAAAGCAGAAAAATAAGTTAGGTAATTGTTACTGTTACAACTTACAACTAAAGAATCATCATAAGATTTCTGAATTGTTTTGTATAATAAACTCGTATTCATTACAGTGACTATCAGTTATATTTTACATTATTTATTTATCATACTTATTTATCTTTATTTACTACATTTCTTCACTGTTATACTTTACATTCACAGAATAAATTAACTTGTGCGTGGGCCGGAATAGCCTGGTCAGTAGGGCGCTGGGCCCATGTCCGAGAGTTCATGGGCTCGAACCCCGCCGGCCGAAGACTCCTCCTGTAGTAAAGTGACTGATGCACGTTTAATCTGTCAAGTCGCAAAAGTCCTCCTTGTTCCCATAACAAATCAATGCCTCTGGGGGTACTGGATTGGAGATCGATCGTTCTCAGATTCAGGTCAAAATTACGATCTGTGGATGAATGAATGGATCTATGAATGGGTCCACCCTATAAACGGGTGTGACATACGGTGTGGCAGAAGTCGAATTCTTGTTCATAGATGGTGCCACTGGAAAACAAGAACAAACGCACCCCCTCTGCCTAAACAGGCATACGTCAACAACAACAACAAATTAATTTGTTTCAATGATTTTATTTTTTTAGTTTTAAATATTTTATTTTTCATTTAAAATATAAGGCATAATTTTTACATTCTGAATTTTCTTTAAAAAAATAATCATAATTCATTAAAAGACTAAACCGCAGCAGCCGAAAGAGGCAAATTAGGGCATGTTGCATTTCCACGTGCTATGGAAAGTTGGTGATTAACTCATGTCATTAACAGGGAAATCGGCATTCGTTTGAATAAAACAAGATTCCAGGGCATCAAGATGAACTGATCTGGCAAAGGTTGATGGAATCTTGGCATTATCAAAATTGAAATTTTGCCAGTCTAAGTACTGCATTCTATGATTTATCGAATTCTTGATGCTAGATACACATATCGTGTTACTTTATTCTAAATTTTAAGGCACTTCTTTCTTGTTCGATATAGCCAAGGTCACACTGACAAATTATATAGAAATGCGACGATTATCAATGCTAATCGGATCGTTTAAAGATCTTATCAGCATTAATAATCGCTATTTTTTAAAACTATTTTTTTTAAGTTAAAGTTTTGGGTAAAGAAAATATACAATTTTAGTCCTAGAAGATATTAATTTCTACACAATTTTTACAACTTTTTAAGCAAGTTTGAAGCTAAATTTTTTCATACCTTAGTGTAGGATAAAGAAAATCTACAGTGTCTAATTTTAAAGCCGCTAATGGTCTAAAAATATAAATTTTTAGACCATTGTTAATGGCCTTTTAGAAGTGTTTATTTTTGAGAATAAATAAATAAACAGCTCAGTACCTAATACAGGGTTACCCCTCTTCGGATATCCACCGAAAGAAAATACGTGGGAGTGGTCAGAGGTGACCACCATTAAAGTGTCTTCTGGTTTTGTCATTTCTAGAGCAACCATGACAGCGTCCTCTAGTGCTAGAGTATCCACCAGGGCACGATGGGCGTTGTTGAAATGATGAGAATGATCAATTCTTCCGCCTGTAAAAAAGAACATCATTTCCCAGGAAAGTTATTTTTAAAAGACACTCTCGAAATGTTGTATTTTATTATGAGTTTAATAATTCATAACAATACCTCATCATTCATTTAGTATCCATCTCTATACGGATTTAATGGCATGTAAATATTATTTTAATGGTCTCTTTTTTCTGTTTATTACATAAAATGTATAAAGATAAATTGAGCGAAACAGAAAAAAGGTTACACCATCAATAACTTTTGATCCAATGATGATCAGTTCTTTTTGTATAGAGCGTTAAATAAAAAACCGAACATCCTGACTAATTTTTGTGATAACGGATTTTCACGTACTATGAATCAATTTCAATTGTTCAATAACTTAACCTTGTTATTGTTGTTTCTAGTGACACTTGAACAAGCCAAGATCGCCAGCCATTGGCATTGTGAAGTCAGGAAGGTGCGCCTTTCGTTGGCAGGAAAGCACCGCTAGGGTAAAAGTGCAACTTAGATCAAAACCTCCTGGATAGATATCAGAACCATTTATTTGTAAGGCCACTACCACAGCTTGGACATAGATCTGAAGAATAAGGAAGTTTCTTCGGATCCATGAAACCACAATACTGCTCAGAAACCGATCATAGAACTTTCGATTCCATAGATTTTACGAGCACGTATATCGCATGCACTCGGTGGGTCCTAACGCTTTTGGAAGATCGAACACCGGCCCTTTCGGACCGAAGTCCGGTGTTTTAACCACTGGAATACCACAGCCCTGGACCTAACCTTAAATATACTTATTAATTAGTGAAGACGATATTTTTTAAGTTACGAAATCAATAATAAAACGCATTTATTCTGAATAACATGTCTTTTTTACGGATACGGATGTTCGACTTTTAAGATATTGTAGGTAGCCGTAATTTTGAAAATATGGCCCCAATAGTTTGGTTAGAACAAAGGTCGAAAGTATCAACCCCTAATTTTTTTTGCAAATTTCTACACATTTCGAGAACTTTTTAAGTCAATCGGAAAAATTTTGCATGCATTGAATTTTGCTCAAAAAATAATCTCTACTCTAATAATTATCTCTAATTACGATCTTTAATAATTATTTCTAACAATTATTTCATTACTTAATTTAATGATAAGATGAAAAAATATTTAATTGTAATACAAACAAATTTTTACATTTTTTTAAATAACGCAAATTTTAAATAATTATCAGAAGATTACAATTGCCAAAAGATATTCAGTGTGATTAGCTCTAATTACGCACAACACATATGTGTTACAAATCAATGAAGATAATTATTTGAGTTCGAAAAAACAGCTGTTAAAATATAACAAATTAATACATTCATAGCATTGCGCAAATATAATCATTAACATCATTAATTAATTCTAAAATAACTTTATTTAAAGCGTCTTAATTCAGTACTTAAATCATAGTTGACTTAACGTTATTATTTTTTTTTTAAATTCTGGATTTTGCAATTGAATATTTGTTTCTGATTAATAATAGATAAGTGATTATAATTTTATTTTCATCTGAAAAATGATAGGGAAAAGTTTTTAAATGGTTTTAATTAGTGTTTGTTTGATTATCATACTTTACATAAATGTTATTAATCTTACAGCAAAGCCAACTAAAACCTCATACGTGTGTGCTAAAATGAACTATTTATGTAATCTATAGTATTGGAATGCCTCTTAAGTTAATTAAATGACCTACCGATAACTTACACTAAAAATAATGCCGTTTCTTTTTGTAACACGAATACTGTTTATTTCTGATGTTTATTTTTTAAGATGTTTACTGAAAAGAAGACTTTTACTTATAAGATAAAATAGTGATGATAATACGAAAAATATTTAATTTTTATTTTCTGATGAAAATAAAAATTAAATATTTTGAGATGAGATTAAAAGGAAGTGCTTGGGAGTAAAAAACATTTTTCTGAGAAGTATGTTATTTTGAAAGATAGCCATCAAAGTACCTTCGACCATCAAAAAGTACCCTCTTGGATTTTTGCGAAGGATCTCAATGGCTTTCTTGGTCATTTCCGCTAAAGAGGGTTCTCCATCAGGGCCAGAGTCCCTGTCCACTTCGTAGGACATATGCCCGTGATTGAACAAGCCTGGAAATAAGGTGTAAACTTTATAAATCATAATGCAACTTATAATTTTTATAGTGTATTCACTATAAAATTTTCGGATCAATTTGTGGTAAAAAGTACTGGCATCCATCGTGCTGTACTTTTTACTGTAATTTGATCTTGAATTTTTTACAGTGCAGATCTATGCGTTTAATTTTGAATAAGATTTTTTAATATTATTGCTTTCATTTTTAATAAATGTAGCTAAAATTATAAATTTAGTTACACATATGCAAATTTTGACATATCCCGCTTATATAAACCAATTATAATTTTCAAATTTTACTAAATATTTGTACTAAACAAATTCCAGAGAACTGACTCATATCCCTATGTCATATAATTTGTCTACATCCTAATTTATCATCAATGGACTATATTCTCTAAATAATTGAATTTTATCATTTCTACACAAAATATGATTACTGCTATCATACGACTAAAACTTAACTCTCCTATTAAATCAATATGCTAAATGGAGTAACATACCACTCGAACGATTCTATAGTAAATACGGTGCACGTGATGCTACATGAATATGCTGAATATTTCTATTGTCTATAATACATTTACATTACAGGTTTTTCATCGTCGGATGATAGAATAAAATAAAATGGCCATACGTGCGTACCCAAGAGATAATCTGTTTTTGCTGGGTCCACTTTGTCGAAGTCTTCTTTTCTGTAAACGTACTCATAGTCTAGTTCTCGAGTCTTCTTATCCTTGAGCCATTCGTCGATGAGATTACGACCGTCTTCTCTCCGACCCATATCCGTTTGAATTTTAGGATCATTTTCTTTTCGAGGTAAGAAATGACGTCGACCCCCTCCCAATATAACCTGCAGAATAAGAAAAAATTGATATGCATCAAAAATAACCATGCAGTGAAACACATAGAATAATAAAAAATAAAGAACCAAATATTCAATAAAAATTTCAAATATATGTTTTTTCAACTATTAAAATATACGTTAAATGCGTACAAAATATTTATAGTCATGATCAGGAAACGTTTTAAAAATCAGGGAACGTTTTAAAAATTCTTCAGAACACAGCTTCTTTTGGGATTCTCTACACTGTAAAACTTACGGTATAAAGTACCGGCACTTTGGGTGAATTATCCGTAAAATCCGTTTTACTGTATAATCCTTTTTTACCATAAAATGTTAAACAGTAATTTTTACAGTAATATTTTTAATTAGAGTGATACAGCGATTTTATGGTAATTAATACTGTAAAACTTACGGTATCAGATTTTTTGTTCCCTTACATGTTGTGGTAAAAATAAATGTTACGGTAAAAAGTACTGGCACCCTGAGCACCAGTACTTTTTATCGTAATTTTATTCGGAATTCTTTATTGTGTAAGTAAGCAAAAATAGCAAGATGTAGTATATCGATATAAAACACAACTTACAAATAAATTTTGGTTTCGATTAAAATTTTAATATTTTCTTATTTCTAAATAATTGCTATTAATACTCAAAGAATGTCTTGAAGTTTTCTGAATGATTCAAATATTAAGAGAAATTTTTTTAAAAGTATCATAAATAAAGTCTTAAAAAATGTTTTTTTTTTTCAGGTTAGTCACGTGCCCCAAATGCCCTCGGCTGGATTGACTCCTAGATATGGTAAAAATTAACTGGAAAATTCAGATTTTGGAGATAATATCAGATTTTGGAGATAATATTACTTAGAACAAAAACTAATTTAAGTCGAGAGTCATTGGTCAATCCAGAGATGTCAACTTCCTCCGGACAGTGGATAAATATTTTCGAGTGGTAGAAGAATTTTAATGTATGATTCTTAGTTTGGTAAATTCAAATTATAGTTTTTTTTTTTCATTATACTAAGTAATTCAAAGAGTTATTTGATTCACTATTTTGCTACAGTTATGTCGTGGTGGGCATCTTAAAAAATAGGTAATATTACCTGGAAGTTTGCAAATTTCAGCTCTACCGTTTTTTAAAATATTTTGCTAAATCCGGAGCAGTTGGTATCTCTGTTATCAATTGATTTGATTCGATTATTGGGTTATAAAGTTTGTGAACTGACATGAAAAGAATAAATTTACAACCAGATAAGAGATATCAACTTTAGATAAAATCTGCTTACATGGTCTCCGACGGTAATTTTTTTGGGGACCACAGATTGATTAGGTGTGACATTGTGTCACGTAATCACAAGTTTTTTTTAACTAGATTGTGACCTAAAAATTAGGCCGTCCCCTGACCCCTCTCCTGTGACGCCTCACTGTCTGTCGACCTTCACGCCTGTGACCTTCGGCAGCCTTTGATGTCAACACATGGAAGATGGTCCGTTATGGTCACAGTTAGTGCATAATTATGATTTTATTTTTGCCGGTTCATCAGTTCACTTCGGTTCTCCTTTTATACATGATTCTGCGGCATTTTAGGTACTTTAACTTCGATCTTCAAGCTGTTTATATAAATACCGCCCATTTTTGGAGCAGGTAGGCATTCGAATTAATTTCCATATCGTAACTCTACGATCCCTTAATAGGGATTTTTCTTTCTTCCACCCCCCGTGGGTGCTTTCGCTATCCGGCTGTGATAGCATTCTCCTTCGCCATGGCTTTTGTTGGTGTTTCTTCCTTTGGTTTTTGAAGTAAATGGGAACTTTCATTCTAAAAAAAAAAAGGATGAATAAGCGTAGTGGATCCCGTATCCCGTGTGTCCTGGTGTTCTTCTTTGACAAGATGTCCTCCAGTCCAGCCTAGCCTGAGATTGTGATGGTGATATCTCTGTATCTCGAGTAATTGATGATGGGTTCTACAAAGTGGATGTTGTGAAATTTATTAAACCGTGCTGTGTCCCTACTTCAAATAGATGTTGTGATTCCCCCATTGTGTGTGTCTAGAACATTCGTCAGCAAATAAAAAATAAAAAGGATATGTTTCAGTCGTAACAAGAACTCATTTCTTCTGTCATTTTTTAAAAGATCATTAGTCATTTTTTAAAGATGGGCAGCTTGAAGTAAATCTGCAACAGGTATGTTGGAACTCAATCACCATGATGTATGTTTTTGTTTGTAAAATGTTTTTTTATTTTTAAGGGTTATTGTTAGTACAATTTTTTAAGCAAATTTTCCACTATATTAATAGTCACGCGCTATGATAAAATTGTTACCGATGACTTTGTTCTTTCGTTTTGCACAACCTCTTAACGATAGTAGTAATTAATTTAGTCAAAAAATTTCCTCAACTTAATCATTCGTTTTAATCCCTCTTTTATACTTGAATAAGATGAAAGCATCGTTTTTTTTAATGTTTTTTTCTTATATTTCTTTGTTCTGAGAAGTAATAATTAGAATTATTTGCATGAGTTATTTTAATGCTAGCGATCGTCACTGGACTTGAAGCTGTCCTGTATGAAAGTGACTATACCAACGTTTAGATACTTACTAGCAGTCACAGCCCGATTTAACACTTGAGCAACTGGACCCGCACTGGAGACAAAGCAAGTATTTCTATTATGAACAAATTAAAGCTCATCTCACATCAACATGACATTCATATCCATTAGGGTCCCTTCACAGGAAAATCACACACATCTAAACTTCACATCTAAAGGAATGAAATAACAAGAAGGCTTACTAAGGAAGTTATCCCTTCCTTTCTTCTACAGAGATGACTCACTTAGAGATTTACAAAATTGGAAAGCCTGGTTGTCACTGGTATAAGTGGTAGGAAACCGGGGCTATCTCTAACACTTCCTTGCAACACCAACACCAGCCTCTCATGTCTCGCCAGCGGCCACATTAAGTGCCTACTGTATTCTAAGGGCAGAAAGATCTCTTAACTGCTTTGGACATCTATTGTTCCCCCCTACTGGTTATTGATTTCATGCTTGTCAATGGATTCACAGACCTGGTCATCAGACCAGACTGGGTTTTCCTCAGGCTGACTCCGTCAGACCAGACTGGAGATTAGTAATAGAAACAACTATTATTTAAACGCTTATAAATTTTATTATTTTATATCTACCAACAAAAGTGAAGATATTAAAAAAAGTGATAAAATCCGCTTACATTGATGTTTCTGCCAGGAGAGTTTTCGACGAGTTGGCGAGCTATGTCCTTACAAGAGTTCCTTGCCTCTGGAGGTATTTTATCGTCACTCTCCCAATATCTACTCGCCGAGTGACCATACATAGCAGCAGGTGTAGCATGCGTCACACGAGTTGTTGTGACAAGACCAGTGGATTTTCCTGAAAATATTGAATTTCTTTACTCCATTGATTCTACAATATTAAATGTAGTAAGAATAAAAAAATTAGAAATAACTAGAGTCATTTAATAAAATTAAATTTTTAAGATGTCGGATAAAAACGTAAGTGCTTCTATAGTACAATAAAAAAAGAACTATTTTAAATATTTGTTGAAATTATACACAAAGAACAAGCTTTTTTCGTTAAGTATGAGGCAATTTTAGCCGAAGTGTAAATGAAAAATACTGTAGTTTTGGTTTAAAGAAGAAAAGCCTTGCTCAAAATTTGAATGACCCTAATTTTCAGCTGAACCAATAAAATTTAAGATTATAGCTTTTTATGTATCCAGTTCAATTTGGTCATAATTTTCACAGTCACATTTATGCTAAAAATTTATTTTAACTATTTTTATATAGTTTTCTACATTTTATTGAGTAACACAGTACATAAATTTTTATGCCAGTATTTTAAATACAACTAGGAGGCTTTGCNTTTATGTATCCAGTTCAATTTGGTCATAATTTTCACAGTCACATTTATGCTAAAAATTTATTTTAACTATTTTTATATAGTTTTCTACATTTTATTGAGTAACACAGTACTTAAATTTTTATGCCATTATTTTAAATACAATTATTTATCTTCCTAGTCTCACAAATTTTTGTATTCATTTGTTTTCCATCACAAGAAGTTTTTTTAAACTCTTCTTATGGAATGAAGATAATTTAATGCTTTTAAAAACAAAGACCTGCTCTGAAGTTGAAATCTAATATCAAAACTATACTCTGTTCAACACTTGAAGTAACTTACCAGGTGATATAGTCTTTAAAAATATTATGCACTGGGCAAAATGCAATTCAATTAAATAATCAACTCCGTACTTTATAATAAATCAACGAAATATTATATGCCAGAAATATGTGATGTATCGAAATTTTTTAAATATTGTGATAACAATATTTTAAAATGTCTTCTCATGACATTTTGTAAATAAATTGTCTTGTGATAAATGCATCATCGACAGCGAGGAATATCGAATAAGATAATATTGCGATTAATTACAAAAATGACATTTAGCAAATATGACATCTTGAAAGTTGAAAAATTCACTTGGGTAACGAAAATATTTGAGCAATATATCAATGTAAATTAGTTAACCTGAAAAATATCGTGATATATCATAAAATATTGATATTTATTAACGCGATATAAAAATCTAAATATCGCCTGCGCTTTTAAATTTGGAAGTTTAAGTTCAAAATTTAACTATGCCAAAACGTTGTCTGTCTAATCCGCTTTAATCCATAATTTTTATGATATTTACAATATGCTAAAAGCAGTATATACTTAAAATATTAATCCCTAGATCTAAATTTACTCTTTAAATAACAAAGTAACGAAAAGTATTTTATAAAAGCTCACGATTATATAATATTCTATTTGTTCAAAATTAGAAGGGTTATGAATAACAAGCTCAGTTTTACGAACTATTCTCTAAAGCAAATATTTGCATTTAAGTAGTAAGATAAAGAGTGCGATAGCATAATATGGTTGCGCTCGCATGTATTAAAGAACGATAAATGCAACTGTGTTATAATGAATAAGTTTTGTGAAAATAATAAACATTAGAGCTTCCACTTTAAAAGAACGGAAGAATTTTCAATTATTTCAACGAGTTTCAAACAATAGATGAGGTGCAGTAAGATTGCTCCGGGCAATGTTTTACATTTATCGAGCGTCAGAATATCTTTTAAATGAAATCTTTTGTTGCCATTTCCATTCTCTTAATAGTTCCTATCAGCCATTGCTTAGCAATTATTATCGCCTGCACTTTAAATCTCAGTTCACTTTAAAAGCACTGATTGGTCATTAATCCAAGCGCGACGACAGCGACATGGTGCGGAGAGAAACGATAATAGGTGTCAGCAGATTAGCTGAAACGAATATCAAATGTGGTATTAATTTGATTAGATTGTTCGATTTCTGTGCAGCGAATGTCTTTTTCTATAATTGAGTTGGGAGTCGGTGATGGCGTTAACTTGTTTAATTGTTGAATCCTGTCTGGTACTTGTTCACATCGATATTTACTTGTCTGACAACAATAGAGCGATTTTAAACTTTGTAGTGAATATTAGTTGTTGCATGCTGATGTAAGAGCATAAGTTAAATATGGATTTGTAATTTTTCAATATTGTAGTTTGAAAAAGTATTTAGGATAGGCGCAAAAATAAATACAGTCACTAGATATTTTTTCTAGTGGCTGTAGCTCGAAGGACTCCTAAGAATGATATATTTTATGCAAAAACTAAGACTTGAAAAAAGAATTGAAAAAGACGTTCTATAGAGTTTCAAAAAATTTTGCAAACAAATCATCGAAAACTACATTTAACTTGTTTGTTTTACCAACCATTGTACAAGAATTTCTGAGATTTTAAAGAAGTTAGATTACTATTCTGTCAAAAAAAGGTTTCAGACAAACAAATCAGTTTTCTACTGTCAACAAAACAAAATTTTAAAAATTTCAAGATTATATTCATGATTAAAACAGTTTGTCCGTTAAAAAAATCTTTCGTCTCTTACATTGGTTGAAAAGGTATTTTCCACCTTAGCAAGTAAAATATACCGATGAATGTGTTTCCTGAAATGAAATTATTTTTTAGGATCTTCGTAAAATATAATATTAAGAGTTTCAGATGAATATGTATATATATATATGGGTGATTCCTTTTAAACATGACATTTCAGACCAAAACATTTCTTCAAATTTAAAGTCTTCAAAATAATCTAAAAAATTTTTTGTATACTTCTTTAGTTACATTTATTAATCTCTTACAGACAGCAGTGTAGCTTATTGACATTTGCTCGAGAAAAAAAAAATAAAATAGAAATTCACCAAATCTTGAATGCCAGGAAAATGACGTATTAGCTTAGAAGTTTAAAAAGCAGTCATTTTAAGTGAATAGTAAGCAACTCAAGTTAAGCCTTTGTGCTAGATGGACCATAAATTGCTTAAATTAATTCTTTTTATCCACTATAGGAAGAATCAATTTTTTTTGTTACTGATGCGTGCAGAATAAAATTGTGTATAATAATCAATCATTAAATAAATAAATAACTTTGATTACATCCAACCATATTAGAATCATACATAAACTTGGTATTAGGTTAATATTTGCTTTTCCCCCTTTCAGTATTAGCAGTTAAAAAAAATTCTGGTAACACTTCAATGTCCTGGAATTCATAAGTCAGGAAAATGACAGCCAGGATAATGACAAATTCGCCATTTTATGGCATATAACTTGACTTTAATTTAATATTTTGGCCTAAGACGTTTACATTCTGCAGAAAACAACAGGATTTCTTAAAATAACTCAGATAAATCTATATAGTTTTATGCTATTAATGATTTCAAGAAGCCATGAAAATGACAACACAAAAACCTACTGATCTTGAAAAAATTTTTGAAATAGATTTTGAACCAAAAATTTGGTTCCTTATTCATGCAACAAGACATGTTCATATAGGAGGGTATCTAATCAATCTATTAACATAAGATATTGATTGCTGGCACTATCTATTTTGGTTATAAACCACTAAATAAAAGTAGCCAGGAAAATGACAGATTTTCTTGGGACAAATAAATTATTGTCAGAAAAAATTATTTTAAACGAAGTTTTTGTAAATAATACCCTCTGCGTATATTCTAGAAATGCTTACACCGGTTGAGATAAAAAAAATTAGATATTGAAAAATTTATAGGAAGTTTTGAAGCTAGTTATTATTGGAAAAACATTGTTTGGGACATGCCAGGAAAATGACATTTTGAAGTTCAATTAAACTTTTTAACTATACAAAACAATCAATGCTAGTGCAAATTCATTTTAAAATGATAACAGCAATGCAATTTATAAATTGTTTTAAAGAAAAGTTCTTTTAGTATTATAGTATTAGATCTTGGAGCAAGGGACAGTGAATTGTCATATTTCGTGAGAATCACCCATATATATATATATATATATATATATATATATTTGAAACGAATGACAGACCTCTTTCAGTTGCCCCTTCTGCTTCTGTATTGGTTTTCTTGTACAGGTATATGTTCTTGTAAAAGGATGCACACAACAGTTACGTTTTTCAGTTTAATGTAATTAGAGAATTGGTTTAATTAACAGCTGTACTCATTGGGAGAAACGAATTAATCAAACAATAAATTCCTTACTGTCTGATATAAGTAGTTTCAGTTGCTAATAGCAGCAGCATGTAAGCTTTTGTACTAACATAAAGCAATGACAAAATTCCATCCAGCTTTCTCATATTTTTACGATGCAGAAAAATTGTTTTAAGTTGACCACTTGTGCAACAGCAATTTAATGGTTTGCTTGATATCCGATCAATTATTAATGACGGATTTAAATTGTTTTTACCAGTTGGTACTTGATCTTTATGATCGATTTTGGCATGTAATCAACTTACCTAGTTTTATTTTACTAGTAAAAACAGATTTGAATTAAGACAAAGACTTACGATCTAAGTTTTTGACAACACAATTGATACGAAATTTTCCACCGGTAATTTGTAACAGATCTTGGAAGTAACATGTTATTTTTTTTTAAAATATAGATACGATTTTATAACAGATACGAATCTATAACAGATATAAAATAATTTTTTGCGAAGTTACTAGCCATCACTAAATATAACATCATCTCTTGTAGTTCAGAAATTATATTTCCTAATTACTTTTTGCTTCTTGTAGAACACAAAGGAGGTGATTTATAGAATGCAATTCTGTCAAATTTACTGTACTGTGTGGTAATAATATTTTGGGTAAACTACCCCCATCACAATTTTGGTAAATAAAACTAAAACCTACGGCATTATTGGTTCATATGGTTATAATTTGACGCAAATTTTGGTTTTCTAAATTGTTTGGTCTTTATTACCATACATTCAGTAAAAAACACAAATCTGAAACCTAAATTTAACCGAATAAATGG